AGGGGACAGCAAATTTACACTGTTATACAAGCTGTATACTCACTACTTTACATTGTAGCAAAGTGTCATTTCTTCAGGGTTGTCACATGAAAAGATATAATAAAATATTTGCAAAATGTGAGGGGTGTACTCACTTCTGTGATATACTGTATGTATGATGTATATACATAGATAACATGTTATCTGCTTATTTTCTCTGAAAATGTTTACATTGGAACTTTTTCTTTCCCACATTGTTAATTTATGGTAATATATTTTGAAATTGTATTAAAATTTGATGTTGTAAAACACATTTTTAAGAATATTATTGAACTGCTTTATTTAAATAGTTTGCAAATAAATCTATTATGCTGCATTTCAACTTAGAAAGAGTGACTGGCTATAACCACATACAGTATTCCCCTTACAAAGCAGCAATTCCAATGAGACTAGTTTAAAACATAAATGAAATGCACTTTGTATTATAACAGGAGATACTTTGTAAAATAGGATAATTGAGATGTGTTCAAGATCACTTAACACAAGACTACTTAATCACATCCAGAGATCTTCAGTGTATTCTTTACAGGTAAGTTTGGGGCTGTAATATATTAGTGAAAACTAACATTTGAGAATAATCATCATAGCGACTATAATGAAGACCACTCATACAGTGTGAGAAGAGAGCTATCCAAACTGTAGCATCCGACAAAAAGACAGATTAAATTGCAGCCCTATAATTCCCGGGAATAAGCCCTATTGAACAGTACTTTTGAGTAGACGTTCAGGATTGTACGGCAGTTTATACCGAAACATAAGAACCGGCTCAACTGACCATAGATATTATAGCTGATAAGCTGGCGGCAGTAACTGAGCAGGACTATTTATATATTTTTAAGAAGTGAGGTACAGGGTCTGGGAAAGTTGCTTAGCAGGTTGGGTATCCATTATCCGCTGCTTCCGAATACCTCACTATTCGGAATGCGACAAGGCACAAGCCGAGCCCAGGAGGCGACTGCGGTGGTACCTGAGAGCGGCGGCCTCTCGCTATCGTCGTCGCCGCTGCCGCCGCCGGCCGAGCCGGAGGTTGCGCGCTCCGGAGGCGCCGGGTTGAGGAGATGGGCGAAGATGGCGGCGAAGGGGTTGGCGGCGAGGGGCTCCGTGCGGTACATCTCCCACAGCAGGTACAGAGCAATGAGGCGCTGCGGTGGGGTCGGCAGCAGGTCGGGCTGCTGAAGCAGCAGCACTAGGACGGAGCCCACGCGGAAGTGCTCGGCCTTGCCGAAGTAGTGGTGGAAGGCGGTGGAGAGGCCCTCGAAGGTACCGCCTGCGGCCTCCTCAGACACGATGCTCAGCAGGCTCGACAGCTCTTTCGGGGAAAGGCTCATCTTCCCCGCCGGCGGCGGCGGCGGCAACACCGCCTCGCTGCCGGCGCCGCTACCGCTACTAATAATACTAAAACCGGCAGCAGCACCGCCAGGAATCGAACCCGTAACGTAGCCGGGCTCTGGACTAGCACCGGCCCCGCCCCCTAGCATTCAGCCCCGCCCTTCCCACTGTCTGGTCTCGCCTGTGCGCGCCCCCATCTACCTAGCTGCCCTTGTTCTCCCCGTGCGTTTCTCCTCGCCCGCGCGCATGCGGACCCGACGCTTTCGCGCGCGCCTTCCCGCCCACGCGCTGTTCACCGCCCACCCTCCTTTCGTGCCGCTACTGCCGTAAAGCCAGTCTCCGCCGGATGTCTTTCTTTGCGGCCGTGTGGTTTTGTTTTTTCGCCGCCGCTGTCGCGAAGCAAAGCCGCTGTCGCAAAGCCAGTGCGGGAAACGAGTTCCCCAAGGAGGAAGAGAGGAACCTCATTGGAGGGAATTGGTCTTCGAGGCTCTCCCGCGAAAAGATTGGCTGCTTGAAATCCTGGTCCTCAGAAGTTAGAAAGGGATTGGCTGTCTCTTCCTGTAGGTGGAGCGGGTAGTAACTCCAATAGTAAATATTGCAAGGAGTCATACTGTCGTGCGGAGATTTTTGAAATATTTGAGAGAAATGTGCCCCATCTCTGTGTTAAGTGTTGAGATTATTTTTACACGTGCACCTTGATCCGCAATCAGTGGATTTCGGCTATATACTAGTAGATCGATTTATGTAAGTCCAACTGTATACAGTGGTGCTTACTTTAAGATTGCAGCTTCAAGACTCTAATCCTGAACATTTACTTTTGGATATGGAAGGCTACACTATGATAAAATCTGAACATTTTGTATTGAATATAAACTGCATTAAAGTACACTGAAATACACAGTGCAAGGACAATCCAAATCCCCTTAGGCTAACTCCAGGATAAATATTTGTGCATATTATGAAAAATGCACAACTATATACTTTTATCCAACGTGGACTTAAATATCATATATTAAACTTCATATAGAAATGATCTTGGACAAACTGAGAATGGTAGGCCTTTTTGCCTTAAATATGCATAGGATTAAGCCTTTCATGCTGTAAGTTACTGGAGCAAACCCAGTTGTATTTACTTAGAAGTAATTCTGTTTTATTCTCTAACCCACCCAGGAAGCTGTCTGGCTAATGAGGTGGACTAAACATACAATCAATCAATCAGTCTTGCTCAGCTCTGCATATGCCAGTGATGAACAGGGCAACTGTACTGCTTTTCTTTTTTGCTTGCTTATTTTACAAAAGGCAAATGAGTTAATTACCCATCACATGACATATGAACTTCCCTTCCATTAGTTCACTTCAATACACTATCCTCCCAATTCCTGTCAACTCATTTTCAGTGAATTCCCAAAGAAATGAATTCCCTTCCCACTTCAAAATAAAACTCTCTAATTTTCTTTTCTGATTAACCAGTTTGGTCCAATTCTCCTCCATGCTTCCAGATTAAAGAAATGGGATTTGGCAAAGAAGTGGCATACATGAGGGATAGATGCTATTTTCTTATCAACAGCCACCTACAACTGTTCTGCTTGAGATCATGTCAGTCACCACATTGGCACAGTGTAACATACCCAGCTGGTACTTTGAACACTTACGCAGAGGTAGGTATGGGAAGAGAAATACACAAACACTTTTTCTTTTCTGGAAGTACACCTGCACGAAGTGCTGACTCCTGCTGGGCCTTCAGAATAGTGTTTGTAAAAAGCTTTTTGAAAAGACACTTTGGTTTCCCTATGTACAATATGTGTCTGTGTGTATTCCTTTTCAAATATGGCAGGTGTTGATGCCCTTTGGAACCAGAATAATCTCCAAGTTATCGCAATAATTCTTACAATAACCCTCAAAAGTAGGTCAATCTATATAACAGGTAGGGAATAACAGTGAAAACACTTGAAAGGGAGGATGGTTTTACACAAAATATGAGAAGCTAATTTGATTTATTTAGGATTATTCCTGAAAGTGGTACACCACCTAGTACCTCCTCCCTTACCCCACAAAAGTATGAAAACATTATCATGTCTATTGCTGATGGTAAGTGTGGCACAACTTTTATTTCTCTGCTTGCAATGCATTCTAGCTAAGTGGCAGAAAGGCTATTACATTTTGATATTTGGAAGTTTATGTTGACACCTGCAAAGTACTACTATGAGATATTGTAGGCACTTTGAGAATAAAGGTTTTTTTGCTGAGATCTTGACATTATTATTGATCCAGTGGAAGTATTCAGAGCACTGTCTATTCTGGTTTTATATGATTCATTTCAGTTGATCTGACCTGAGGATGTAGACCAAGTTTTTTTAGAAAGATTCATTCAGTCACCTGTGTTCTTAATTCTGGTTCATTTTGGCAAGTAATATTAAGCTGGATGAGATTGGTTCAGTGGTTTCCAGAGGCTATTAATGTTTTTTTGTGAGAGCAAATGGCCTCTGCCGCCTTCAATAAGGTAGTTATGAGAATTTAACAACCTTCACCAAAATATGTCCTTTCTAGGGTATGGTGCTTATAACTCCAAGGCCTATTAGATGAAACAGAATATGTAGACTTGAGGTCTCTGTTATGCCCACAGATGGCTTTCTTGGTATCTGCCAGGCTCCTTGTCCCAGCTATTTTTATTTGTTTCCCTAGGATTTTTATTAATTCAAAACATTAAGTGGGAAGCTGGTATGCTGCGAACAAAATTGCTGCTTCCCAGTATCATATTTATTTAGGACCAAAAGACTGGTTTTGTGTTTTTGAGCTCAAGCCTTAAATCTGTTTTATACTTAGGTTTTTATGCAAGTTACTTTTCTTTCAGTCTTACCAGTTTGCCTGTTGCAAAATAAGTATGAATGTTTTGTGACTGGCCATATATAGACATATGAATGGCAAGCCCATATGAATGGGCAAGACACAGCCCATGGCACCCACCCCATTTGCGACAGTACCCACAGCACATTACCAAAACTCCATATGCATCCACCAGTCCATAAAGCTTGAGGATCCCTGATTTTGACCCATTTCAGACTGGTTTTAGGCTATTGTTTGGCATGGAGACTGCCTTGTTTGCCCTGGTGTATGGTTTTTGCCAACAGACAGACAGAGGCATGGAAGCCTATTGATGCTCCTTGACCTTTCAGAGGCTTTTAATACCATTGGCACTGGCAGCTTGCTAGACTGACTTTGCACATTTATTTATTAAACTTATATTCTGCTGTATTGGCCCAAGGGTCCTCCAAGCAGATTACAATGAGATAAAACACACCATAACAATGAAAGCAATCAATTAAAACACATAGCAATAAACAAAAGACAAAAAATACACAGCTGATTTAAAAGTGTGTAGATTAAAACAACAATATCACAACATTATCAAGATAAAATCAATTATTAAAATGCCTGTGGAAACATTGGGCTGGGAGCCATGTTGCCATGGAGGTTCCACTTAAACCCATTGGCTCAGTTTTAGAAAGTAACATTGTGGGATTTCTGTCCAACGCCTTGGGATTTGAGCTGTGGAATTTCACATTGTTCTACCTTATCTCTCATGTTTTATAACATCTGTATGAAGCTACTGAAGGAGGTCACCTGAGGATTTGGAGCGAGTTCCGTTTCTTTGTATTATGTAAGGCTGCGGAGGTACTGAACCACTTTGTGGAGTCAGTAAAAGGATGAATGAGAGTTGTCAGGAAATTAATTTTTATTCTGAGGTCATTCTGCACACATTAATTACATTGTCTGTATGCATTACATCATACCATTTTAATCTCAAGGCTGGAATTGAGCTTTTGCCATATTAGGCAGAGTGGCTTCAGCTATGCTGCTGTGAAAACTTTTGTACACACCTTCCCTTCCTGAACCTGAATAAGCTATTCAGGCTGCCAGTCATTGGCTGAAGAAACTATCCAGCCAGGGAGGGATAGGTTAAGGAGGCTTCCCTCATATTTGTCAAGAGCCTGGGGGATATAGAGCCAGGAGACTATAGTTGCCCTTGGTCCTCATTTTCATTTTTGTCTACTTGTTCCAGCTTCTCTCTGGGCATGTAAAGTTCTTGCATCTTAGCTTGAGGCCTCTCCTATTGAAAGAGCCTTACTTTGGTGAAATATAGGATGGACTAGGTATTGCTTTATTTCTCCCTGCAGATTATTCCAAAGGGTTCCTCAGGAATTTTCCTTGATATTTCTACAATGCTTTATCACTCCCTGCCCCTTTCATGATAAACTGCACATCTATTTCAAAGCTTCTGTGTGCTTTATTGCACTTAAGCATAAATACTAAATTCAGAGCCTGCTGCCTGTCTTGCTAGTGCTTAGAGTTATAAGTTTGGGGCTTGAAGGAGAGGATGTCAGCTTGAAATGAATCTTATTTCTGTGCCCAAAGTGTGTCCTAAAGAGTCCTAGAATCCTGGGGATCATGCTGAGATGGATGTAAAGAGGTAGTGGCACTCTTAACAGATAACTGTTTTCCTGCTGCCTACACTTTCCCTCTCCCGTAACACTCAAACCCAGAGTCATACCAGAAAAATGATGGGTGGCAGGTTTAGGACAGATAAAAGGAAGTACTTCTGCACACAATGTATAGTTAAAGAATTTGCTGCCACTGAAAGTGGTTACAGCCACCAATCTGGATGGCTTTAAAAGGGGACTGGATAGATTCATGAGGAAGGAGGCTGGTTGCTAGCCTTGCTAGCTATGTGCTACTTCCTTTAGCTCTTCACACCAGTGTGGTGTAGTGGTTAAGAGCACAGCACTGGGACTCAAGCGATCTAGAATCTAGTCCTCGCTTGGCTGTGGAGCCAACTGGGTGATTTGGGGCCAGTCACAGATTCTCAGCCCAACTTACCTCACGGGGTGGTTGTTGTGAGGACAAGATTGAAAGCAAGAGGAGAATTGTAAGCCACTTTGAGTTCATTGTAAAAAAAAAAACGGATATAAGTTAAATAAATGCCAAATGTGGCCCACTGTGAAAAACAGGCTGTGTACCCTTGATCTAGGTAGGGTAACATCACATCTTTCAGGAAGCAATTACCTTGTCTGCCTTCTTGATTCTGAGCCCACTTAAAGGACAGGTGCTGGTATTACTTACCTTTAAAGCCTTGAGTAGGTTTGGACCTAACTATATCTAGTGGAGCATTACCCCCTTGACAATGCATTAAGATAATTAGTTGAAGAGAAGCTCTTTTCTGTCTACAGGATAGGAAAATTATGCCCCTGCAATGGAGATGGCCATTGTGCTGGTAGTATTTTGACTTCAGAATACCTTTCCAGATGAGGTAAAGTTGGCACAGATACTGTATTATTTCAGTGCATGTTCAAAACATTTTATTTACCTAGGCTTTTAAAACTCATTATATTGTATTCCATCACTTCTACTCAGAGATCATCTGCCTAGTCCTTTCTCAAATGCGATTCTATCAGTCTTCCTAATTGTAGGTATCTTGAGGGTATCTATTTCTTATTGCTAATATATGTAGGCTACTCTGGATTTTTTTTGTGGGCGGGGGGTTGAAAAGCAGGGTAAGATGTTT